CTGCTCCTCCTGTGGATCCATTTGCCAAAATCAAAGTGGATGACTGTGGAAGGACTAAGGGATGCTTTAGGTTGGTAGAACTGCTAGTTGGATAACTTGAAGGCTAAGAAATTGATTTATTTCTCAAGGTAGTATTTACATTACATTACATGCAGTTTCTTCTAACCAGAGACCTGTATCCCCTCAATCTCAGCGAAGTTTTCTAATGGCCACCCAGTTTACCATTCTCTGATCCTTCATTTCTGGCTGTACCGTCATTGGCCCAGGGGTCCGCTGCTCACCAATGGGTTGTATGAGGAGTCATAGGACCCAGAGTGTGTCTGTGCTTATTCAGTAGGGGCTGTGGGCAAGACAGGAAACAGCCGACATGTCTAATTCCCAATTCCTTTTCAGATAGTCTTGATTTATGAATGTCTGTATGGTGGAAACCAGTCATTAAGCATTGGTTATTGTAGTTAGCTTGTGATCTCAGGTATAGTGAGTCCCAGCATGATTATTAGAAGTATTCTGTCAAGACATGTCAGGCTGAGGTTAGGAATTAGGAGTATGGGATGTGACTCCAGTCTAGACAGCCCTGCTTTGTTGGAAAAGTCTTCTTGAATCCTTTTCTTCCAGAAACAAATTGCCCCTGAATAAAGGTTTTCATGGCCACTGCACTAAAGGTTCTGATTTTGGTTTTGTCGTTCAGTGCTCAATGTCTAAGAGGAAAATCAAATACAGTGCTTTTGAGTTTTGTTTGCATTACAAGGCCATTTCTGAGTATTAGACGTCTAATAGGTATAAAGATCCAGTAATAGATGTATTGAGAAAGAGAGCCAATAATGTGTAATTCTGGTGACTGGGGGATGTTTTTGAGAAGGGAAGGAATTTTAGTATTCTGTTGGCTTCAGAGTGACTTCTTTTTTGGCCTGTTCACTCCTTCCTTAACTTTCCTTAACCCTTTTCATTTTTGTTATTTTAATTCTGTGTTGCCTTCTAAAAAAAAGAATTATTAATTTATATTTTAATTGTCCAAGAGAGGCAGAGAGAGAGAGAGAGAGAGAGAGAGCAAGCTGTGAGGTCTGGGACTTGAACTGTAGTCTTCCATGTGGGAGTCCAGCACCTTAACCACTATACCAGCTGCCAATCCCCAATTTTGTGTTGCTTTGACTTTATAGCTCTTCCTGGCTGCTCAGAGTATATCTACACGCAGAATAGCATGTTCTTGCCTCCCTCCTCAGACAAACCTTAGCACTCTGTGTCTCATTCCTTGAGATATCTTCCATCTGAACTTAGATTGCCCCACTCATTGCTGTGATTTTCTATCCTTCTGAAAATGGTGTAATACAGTATTCTTCAAGGGAGAGCTTGCTGGTTCTTAAAGAATCCACCAGTCCTTTGTAAGAAAATTTAAATTTGTGTTTTTATTTCAATGATATTCTTTACAAGGGTGAATGTATGCATCATCTCTCTGTATAACTACCTTATAATGCTATAGGTTTTAGTGTCTGAGTTTGTAATTATATTAGCACCAAGTAGCCCTACAGAACAAAGGCAGGTTCTATAAATGAATGATGATGTATTCATGCTGAGTGAGTATCAGATGAAGTATTCCTTTGGTGTGTGGTGTGAATGAGGGATTTTGCAGCAGTTCAAACATGTAAAAGTGGAGGATAGTTGAGCCTTTCCTATGGTTGTAATGAGAACATGCTCAATTCAGAAGATCTTGTATTATCAGACCTACCCAAAGCACAAAAGCAGAAAAGCACTGTCAGTAAAACCACACCATCCATCCCATGAGTGCTATGAATTTCCTTCTTTCTTTGTTTTTTTAAGAATTATTTTATTTAACTTTATTTATCCATTTATTTATTTATTCATTTATTTTAATTTGACCAGAGAGGGGTAAAGTGAGAGAAAGAGAGAAGAGGAAAGGAGAGGAGAGGAGAGGAGAGGAGAGATCAGGGATTCTGGGCATGAGAAGCCAAGAGGGGAGGAGAGGAGAGGAGAGGAGAGAGAAAGTGAAAAAGCAAGCTGCCAGATCCAGGACTCGAACTGTGGTCAGCCATGTTGGAATCTAACACCCTTAGCCACCATGCCACCTGCTGGCCCCGAGTACTGTGAATTTCAACATTCCTGGCTTTTTATTTAATTTGTATTTCACTTATAAATGTGTGTTAGTTTGATTGTATGAAAATTTGTCAGTAAAAAGAATTTATGTATATTTGATTAACAAAAACAATTTAAATGATCAACTTGGAAATTCTTTTTTCTCTAAAAAAGATGTAGAAATAATTAATAGCTAACATTTAAGAAATTCTAAAATAATGTAGAGAACACAGGGTGGGAGTTCAGAGACCCAGGTTCTAGTCCTGTAGCCTCTGTCCACCTCTGGACCTTAGTTTATATGAAGAGAAGGGGCAGCAGATCCCAGTAGCAAAGACCTACTGTATTTAATGACATTGCTTCGTGTCCTGGCTGATATATAGGAGATGGTCTCGTAGTTTGAATAAGTAGAAAAAGTAATGTCTCTTTTGATATATGCTCTAGATATGGCAAACCAGGCTGCAATGCAGAAACCTGTGACTACTTCCTCAGCTACCGGATGATAGGGGCTGATGTGGAATTTGAACTGAGTGCAGACACAGATGGTTGGGTGGCAGTTGGATTCTCTTCAGACAAAAAAATGGTAAGATGTAAATCACGACAGAAGCTGATTTTTCTATTTAGTTTGCTGTGCTACTTAGGATTTTATAAGCAAATGAAATCATCAAAGGAGTATAATGATTACCTTAGTTATGGCTCTCTGATGGCAAATGAAAAAAATTCCAGCTCACTTTAATGGAAGAGTTGGTTTTCAGAATACAGGGTGTCTTGGGCAGCCGTGTTCATCAGCTATCGCCACAACCACGCTGTGAGACGAGCCTGCAGAATGACATGGTTTGTAACAGTAAGCATGATTTCTTGCTCACATGTGTGTGAACTGGCTGGGATTCTGTCTATTTTAGGTGGGACTCAACTGGGCTTGGCTTCAGTCCATGAGTTGGAATCAGGACTTTTCTGTTTTCTCTAGTCGTTATGGAATGAACAGCTCCCAAGGCATGGTTTTTCCCATGGTAGAGGCAGAAGCCCAAGAGCCACTGTAAGAGGAAAAAAATAAACTCTTCCTTTTTTCCTGTTCTGTGACCAGACATGTAGAGATTCCCCTCCTCCCCCACACTAGACAATTCTGTAGCGGACACTGGCTAGATGTTCTCTAATTCAGTTACTTTCTGACCTGATCTGTGTTAGAGCCTACAGGTTGAAGACTTAGTCTGATGGTTCCTCTCACTTCAAATGCCAGTTAAAGCCCCACATTGTGATCTGTGCTTCTGACTGGCTGGCTGTAAATTGGGGTTTCTACAATCCCCTCCTGGGGCTCCATTAATTTGCTAGAGTGACTCACAGAACCCAGGAAAACACTTTTTATATTTATGCATTTATATAAAAAGTATTATAAGGACAATTCCAAGGATTTTACATTTTATTTATTTATTTATTTTTAGTTTTTTGCCATAGGGCATATGTGTTCACTGGGGAGAGAGAGAGTGAGAGAGACTAAAGGAGAGTGAGAAATCACCCCCCTGGGGGATGGCCTTGCCACAATTCCTTCTCCTCCACCAGGCATGCATGCACACACTCCTAGTGTGATTTTCAAGCTGATGGATCTGGGACCCAAACTGCAGTTGACTGTGTGGGAGTCCAGCACCTTAACCACTATGCCACCTGCTGGCCCCAATTCCAAGGGTCTTAAGAGCTATGTCCCAGGAACCAGAGGCAGAGACTCCATGTGTATAACTGACTCTTGAATAATTGATCCATAAAATAAAATTCAGACCCTGGGACATGAAGTCAGACCCATCAGCAGTAGGGGCAGATGGAAATGACAACACGTCCACCGACTGTGAAAAAGGTCACAATACATATAAGTTCTGAAAGAGTTTACACTGGACCAAAGTAACAGAGTAAGGTCTTATGGAGGTGTAAAGGGACAAGATTGCGTAAAAGTCCATCAGCAGAAGCCACTTGGAGCTTCTTATTGGCAACAATGGTAGACCCGTTAGTAGGATATGTGATCAGCCCCTGAGAGACTATAAACCTTGAATTACCT